GACCAGCCTGACCAACATGGTGAAACCCTCTCTCTACTAAATACAAACAGTTACCTGGGTATGGTGCCAGATGCCTGTAATCCCAGCTACTCGGGAGGCTGAGGTAGGAGAATTGCTTGAACCTGGGAGGCGGAGGTTGCAGTGAGCCGAGATCACGCCATTGCACTCCAGCCTGGGCAACAAGAGCGAAACTCTGTCTAAAAACATAAAATGTCCTCAGCATGGCCCTCAAAGCCTAGGAGGATGGGGGGGCAGGGCCATGCCAGGGGTTGAAATGTACAGACATCTCGGCTGCACTTGTTGGCAACAGTTGTCATCAACTCTTGTTTTCCCTCCTGAAACTGCTGAATTTGAGACTAACAGACTCATGCAGTAACATCCACACAGGGGCAGCTGGAATCATGAAGAGGCTTGCCCAGGTTGAACACTCACACTCTCAAAAACCAGTTTCTCATTCAGCCCCAGCAGCTCACTGGTAGGAAGAAGGTCAAGAATGACAGCTTCCCGACACTACAGTTGATTAAAGTACTTCTTTTTTTTTTTAGACAGGGTCTTACTCTGTTGCCCAGGCTGGAGTGCAGTGGCGCATGTTGTCTCACTGCAATCTTCGCCTCCTAGGTTCAAGCAACTCTCCTGCCTCAGCCTCCTGAGTAACTGGGATTACAGGCACATGCCACCGCCTAGTTAATGTTTGCATTTTTAGTAGAGACGGGGTTTTGCTATGTTGGTCAGGCTGGTCTCGAACTCCCGATCTCAGGTGGTCCACCCGTCTTGGCCTCCCAAAATGCTGGGATTATAGGCGTGAGTCATGGCACCCAGCCTTGAAAGTACTTTTTAAAATAGCTTTTTATTATTACTAAATTCCAGATGTTGCATTGCTAAACACCCGCTGTGGGCAATGGGGAGCCCCCAAAGGCTGCTTCCTGGGGTCAGGGTCAGGGGTGAGCAGGGGACAATTTGGGCTGCCTGTGCCTAGTGGTACACATGCCTCTGCAGGTGGTCCTGACACTGACTTATTTTTATTAGGTGAAAAGTGAAATGGGCCAACATTACACAATTCCACAATACTAAGGAACACGTGACCACAGCCAGTGTCTCCAGGGGGTGGATACACACTGGCCGTGTCCTCTCTGAGCAGTTTCCCTCAGCCCACAGGACTTGGGGCTTGTTCGGGTGCAGGGTCCCCGCTTGTCCAGCTCACCATACGAATGCTGAAGCACCAGCAGGGAGTGCTGCCAGGGAGTTGAGGGCAAATTTGCTTAAAACCAGTTCCCTGCTAACAAGAAACTTGTGTGTCTGGTTCCCCAGGAAAGCCTAACCATTGTGTTTCAATTTCCATAGCACCTGCTCCCCACAATTTAAATAAGGAACAGATAAGATAGGTCATCAAATATTCACACACCCCTGAGAGGCATCTGAGGTGGGCAGGAAGCCAGGGGCATCACAGCCCAGCAACTGGCCCCGGCGGGGAGGATGACCTGGCACTGGGTGTTGGAGACCAACAGGGGGCGGATCACGTGGAGGCTGTCAGCAGCATCAGTCTGCTGGGGGGTGGGGACAAAGAGGGGTCTGCTTGGCTGGGGGATTAAGTATACTTGGGGGTGAAGGAGGTGGGAGATGGATTACACAAGCAAAAGTACTGAGGACAACAGGAGCAGGCTCTCACTGTTGGAGAAACGAGTCACAAACCTGGAAAGAGAGAAAAATAGTGGGAACCCTGTGGTGAACTAGAATTAAAGATATTGGAATGAGCCAGGTGCAGTGGCTCACGCATGTAATCCCAGCCCTTTGAGAGGCCAAGGTGGGAGGACTGCTTGAGCCCAGGAGGTTGAGGCTGCAATGAGCTGTGACTTCACCATTGCATTCCAGCCTGGTGACAGCATGAGACCCTGTCTCAAAAATAAAAATAAGCTGGGCACGGTGGCTCACATCTGTAATCCCAGCACTTTGGGAGGCTGAGGCGGGCGGGTCACTTGAGGTCAGGAGTTTGACACGAGTCTGGCCAACATGATGAAACCCTGTCTCTACTAAAAATACAAAATTAGCCAGGCGTGGTAGTGCACACCATAATCCCAGCTACTTGGAGGCTGAGGCAGGAGAAATGCTTGAACCTGGGAGGCTGAGATTGCACCACTGCACTCCAGGCTGGGCAAGAGAGTGAGAATGAATGAATGAATGAATGAATGAATAAACAAAAATAAAGATATTGTAATGAACGCATGGTTTTTAACATATACAGACATACGAGAACAGATGCGAATGTGTGCGCACCTGTGTGTGTGTACACACACGTCTGTAATAACCCACAAATATTCCTTAGCTCTGTGTCCTAAGAGTGTCCAAGAGCAGCAACACCCCAACAGCAATGAGCACATCAAGGGCCAAGATTTACTCTGAAAGGAATCAGGGCTCCTTAGAGGATTGGGTGAAGCAGGCAGAGGCAGAACAGAATACAAGCCTGGTTGGGCACAGTGGCTCATGCACGTAATCCCGGCATTTTGGGAGGCCAGGAGTTTGAGACCAACCTGGGCAACATGACAAAATCCTCTCTCTACAAAAAATACAAAAATTAGCTGGGCAAGTTGGCTTGCACCTGTAGTCCCAGCTACTTGGGAGGATGGAGTGGGAGGATCACCCACCCAAGAGGCTGAAGTGAGCTGAGATTATGTCACTGCCCTCCAGCCTGGGTGACAGAGTGAGACCCTGTCTCCAAAAGAAAAAAAGCCCAGGTGTGGTGGCTCACGCCTGTAATCCCAGCACTTTGAGAGGCAGAGGCAGGCGGATCACCTGAGGTCAGGAGTTCAAGACCAGCCTGCTAACATGGTGAAACCCCATCTCTAATAAAAAATACAAAAAATTAGCTGGGTGTGGTGGCGGGCACCTGTAATCCCAGCTACTCAGGAGGCTGAGGCAGGAGAATCGCTTGAACCCAGGAGGCGGAGTTTGCAGTGAACCAAGATCACGCCATTGCACTCCAGCCTGGGCAACAAGAGTGAAACTCCATCTCAAAAAAATAAAAATAAAAATAAATTCACACTGGTGAGGGTTAGGGACATCATGTCCTCATAGCATTTAGGTGAAACTTAAATGTAGATTTAAATTTGAATTTCTCCTTTAGTTACCACATCCCTTCTGACAGCTGGGCAGGAGACATGCTTACATATATGAATTCACACAGTCCTCAATAGTCCTCAGTAACCACGAGCTAAGTATTATTATTGCCCCCAAATCAGAGGAGGGCCAGGAACAGAGAAAGGTTCAGCCAAGGACCAGGGTCATGCAGCCAGAGGTGGAGGCAGGATCCAGACCCTCTTGCTGTTCTCTATCACTGTATATGTCAAGTACACATCAATCTTGCACCAAAACAGTGTTCAGAAAGAAACACACTTTTGTACAACATATACACTTTCCAGAAGCCTCTGCATATATGAAGTGCTATGCTCCGAAGTGACACACAAAATTCAAATAATTGACCTCAAGAGACCAACTCACTCAAAGAAATCAAGTGACCCTTTGTGCAGACGACCACTGATTTAAATACCTTATTTGGTGGCCCCACTTGTAAGCTATTTTCAAATTGTTATTAACCTTGACCAAGTGATCAAGGTCAATGGTAGCAGTGACAGGACATATTGACAGCATGTTTTCCCCGACACAATGTGCCGAGGACACACACATCACCTCTGTGGAACTCTGGCCACAAACTCACAACTTCGGTCCAATCTAGAGGAAACGTCAGACAAACCGCACTGACAGATGTTCTACAAAATGACTGAGCGCTTCTCCTTAAAATGGTCAACATCGTTCATGGATGACAAGGTCACAGATCACAGGAGACCAAAGAGACATGATGACTCAATACAATGTGGGATTCAGGGCAGAAAAGGGCATTAGGGCAAAAACTGGGGAACTCCAAATGAGCTCTGTACTCAACGTAATTTCCTGGTTTCCATATTTGTACTATGGCTCTGAAGGCGTTGACGAGATAGGAAGCCCAAAGAAGGAGATATGAGAACTCTGTGCTATTTTTTCAACTTTTCTTTTCTTTCTTTTTTTTTTTTTTTTTTTGAGACAGAGTCTTACTCTTGTTGCCCAGGCTGGAGTGCAATGGCGCGATCTCGGCTCACTGCAACCTCCGCCTCCTGGGTTCAGGATTCTCCTGAGGCGATTCTCCTGCCTCAGCCACCCAAGTAGCTGGGATTACAGGCATGTACCACCACACCCAGCTAATTTTGTATTTTTAGTAGAGACGGGGTTTCACCATCTTGGCCAGGCTGGTCTTGAACAACTGACTTCGTGATCCACCTGCCTCGGCCTCCCAAAGTGCTGGGATTACAGGTGTGAGCCATCGTGCCCAGCTGACAAAATTGTTCTTATTCAACTTCCCTAAGTCTGTCATTTTTACTTTTTCTATATAACTGAATGCTAAGCACCTCTTAGATCTTCAACCTAGAATGCAGCTGCTTGTTACTGATTTGCAACAGTATTTCTCAGTTATAAACTACAAAATAAATCAGTGTGCATACCAGAAACCAGGGCAAGGATAAGGCAGAAAGAAAACATCCTAGCGGTCTTCTGCAAGACAGAAGGGACAAGCAAAATTGTCCACCATGCACATCAGGGCTGAGACAAGACCAGAGGTATGTGTGGCTGCTGCAGCTCTAAACACACATAGGAAGTGGTTTTTTTTTTTGTAACAGAGTTTCACTGTTATTGCCCAGGCTGAAGTGCAGTGGCGTCATCTCGGCTCACTGTAACCTCCGCCTCCCAGGTTCAAGTGATTCTCCTGCCTTAGCCCCCCCAAGTAGCTGGGATTACAGGCATGTGTCACCACGCTTGGCTAATTTTTGTATTTTTAATAGAGACAGGGTTTCTCCATGTTGGTTAGGCTGGTCTCGAATCCGACCTCAGGTGATCTGCCCGCCTCGGCCTCCGAAAGTGCTGGGATTACAGGCATGAGCCACCGTGCTCGGTCCGGAAGTGTCTTCTAAACAGCCTACCTGTCTTTTCCTTGATCTCACAGAGCACGCTGAACAGAGCAGGCTTCATCCGATGGCAATTCAGAGCATGCTTTCTGAAAGGGAGGTGACAGAGGAGGGTGTGAGAAAAGAACAGTCATCATTTTATCCCCAAGAGTAAAGATCTTCCATATTGAGAAATCAAACCAAACGAGGTCTACCATTCTGACTATAGATAAGCTGCCTTACGAAAATGCAGTACAGTCACATTTCATGAATTTGATTTGCACAAAATCAATATAAAGGCCAGGCGTGGTGGCTCATGCCTGTAATCCCAGCACTTTGGGAGGCTAAGGCAGGCAGATCACTTGAGGTCAGGAGTTTGAGACCAGCCTGGCCAACATGGTAAAATGCTGTCTCTATTAAAAATACAAAAATTGGCTGGGCACGGTGGCTTCGGCCTCGGGCCACAGTGTGGGCTTACGCCTATTAATTCCCAAGAACTTTGGGAGGCCAACGTGCGGCGGATGCCCTGAAGGTCAGGAGTTCGACCCCGACCAGGCTGGCCATTCCATCGGTGAAACCCTGTCTCACCTTACCCCTAAAATACAAAAATCTAAGTCCAGGATGGCTGGGTGCACACCTGGTAATTCCAGTTGCTCAGGAGGCTGAGGCCAGGAAACTGACGTTGAACCCGGCGACAGAGGTTGCACAGTGAGCCCGAGACACACAACACATTGTAACTCTACGCAACACAGATGACAGGAACATTAAACCATCTCAAAAAAAAAAAAAAAAAGAAAAACGCAAACATCTTCAACAAGAAGACAGGTGTAACATGTAAACCATGTAACACAAGCGACTCACAAGTGGGTTGAGGAGAACGCTAAAACACAATAGGGAGGCAGAGGTTGTAGTGAGCCAAGATTGTGCCTTGCCCCACCCCACCTAAGCAATAGAGTCAATGACTCTGTCCAACCAATAATCAACAATAAATAAAATATAAATTATACACAAATATTAAACATTACTCATTATACTGTTAAACGATTAAGCAAGCAAATACTCCAATCTCATCCAAACTATTCTGCAAGGTCTGTGGCTCATGCTCAACTCCCAACAGTTGAAGGGCAAGCACGGAGATACTGTCTGAGCCCAGACAAATTAAGATCTCGGCCTGGGCAACATGGGAGACCCACTCTCTTCAAAAAATTTGAAAATTACAGCTGGGCATCGGTGGTATACCTGTAGTTCCATCCCTCGGAGGCTGAGACAGGAGGATCGGCCGAGGCATGAGTTAGCGGATGTAGTCAGCTATGAACACCGCCACTGTATCCAGCCAAGCCGTAATGAGACCCTTTTGTCATTTAAGCACGAAAAGGAAAAAAAAAAAAAAAAACACGCGCCGGAGGCCTTGGCCAATGCCGTACATCCCCACATCTTTGGGAGGCTTACGTCAGACGCGGATTCGCCGCCTGAGGTTACAGGGAGCTTTGAGACTAGCCTGGCCAACACTGACTGAAACCCCATCTCAGCGCCGGGCCGCGGTGGCTCACGCCTTAATCCGCACTTTGGGAGCCCGAGGCAGGCGGTGGACACTGAGGTCAGGAGATCAGACCATCCCCTAACACGGTGAAACTCCTCCCCGTCTCCTACTAAATATAAGCACACAAATTACCCGGGCTCGGTGGTGGGCGCCTGTAGTCCAGCCCTACTCGG